AGGTATGTGTGTCGGAGGGAGGGGTAGGAATTCAAAATTAATGTAATTTGTAAGTAATTGTAAGTAATTTGTGTGTGTGTGTGTGTTTGCTTGTTTCTTCACTCAAACTCAATTTGAGAGAGTTTGAGAAGAAAGGGAATGAGGCAGGGAGGGCAGCCCGCCAGCTTTCTTTCTCTGTGTCGAGGCGGGGCGGGCAAGAGCCACTTTCTTTTTGCCCGTCTTGCTGCTATGTCCAACATAGAGGCGGGGCGGGCAAAAGCCGCTTTCTTTCTTTTTGCCTCACCAGCCATAAACCTCACCGCACGTCACCGGTCCCTAATAATGCTTAAATCCCTCTAAAGGGACAGCATTATTTTGCCCTAGCATCCGAAAAGACCTTTCGTATTTTCGGAGTACTTTCAATCCTCTGTATCAACAATTTTAAACTCTCTCTCTTTTGCTTAAGCTAACTTTTTTTTTTTAACTTTTTGCCAAGAAATCTTTTGGAATTTTACAGAAGACTCTGAGGAATAGACCTTATCTCTATATTATACTATCTTGTTCAAGTAGTTCACTTACTCATTCCATGTCGCCTGCACTTCTCAAGCAGTACAGAACAAGAATGTGATAGCATTGTTAATAACTGTCTTATGTCCATGGAGTAGGTTTGTTCCATATCTCATAATTTCATATAGGCAAAACAGATTCTAGAAATCGGCATACATATTGGATCGCTGAAAAAATTCCGCTTGTTTTAAATTCACCTGAGGCGATTCCTGAAAAAACTTTGCTGTTTATTAGCACAATGATCTGTTCTGTGTTCACTAATGTCTCCAAGTTCTTTTCCACTGTCTTCAGTTTTGGTGTCCCTGATTTGAAATATAATCTAATTAAAAAGGAAACATGAAACTTAGTAATGACGTAGAAAATATCTGATCATGCTTTATGCCAAAGTAGAAATTAAATTGGAAATTTGTCAGCGTTTGTGCCTTAAAATGCAGCCTCTGTGTTCTTTTGATATCCCTGAGTAAATGAAAGAGGGTATCTGAATGTGTTCCCTTCATGTAAAAGATACTGTTGAAATCTCATATAGTCATCACGGTTACACATTCTTAACAATAAATTGTCTGAAACATCTCCATCCAGTAATGGAAAATTTGAACTCTTGCACTATCTTCTTATATATCATTGTTCATGGCAAATTAAGGTAGATTTCAGTTTCAGCCCTTGGCATATGTGCGCATATTATTCAGAAATTAATCATGCTTCATGGTAAACAAATACTCCCACTGAAAAAATATTCCTATTGGCCAGCTGTTAAGGTTAATAAGAGGATACGTGCTTGAATATTTGGTGGCAATTTTAATGTAAGAGATATAAGGAATTTGTAGTCATCTACAGTAGAAGTAAAATTGTTCCTATCCAGTGGATTTCAGCAAATGGATTATTCTGTTAGGTGGTATTAAGTAGACCAGTGGTTCCCAAACTTGGCAACTTTAAGACTTGTGGACTTCAACTCCCAGAATTCTCCAGCCAGCAGAGCTCTTGAGTTCTGGAGTTGAAGTCCACAAGTCTTAAAGTTGCCAAGTTTGGGAACCACTGAAATAGACCCTCATTCTGCTTGCAGTTCCAAGCAGTCCAACTTACATTTATAAAATGACATAATTTCCTGAGTTCTAAATTCTATTTTGTGGGACTTTTTGCATCTACTTTCGATTAAGACTATGTGATTTCTTTGTTTTATAGTCATCTGTTATAATCAATAAGCACATAATCTTACAAAATATGGATGTGTATAAATAGAAAATAATTTAGGGGTCAATTAAGTAGCTAAATTCTATTTTTACTGAGAGAAAATGCCACACAGATGGCCTATTCATAAGCAAAACAAACACAATTGGGGGATTATTGATTTTATTCTTTTTATATTGGGATATTTATTGTTCGTAAGCCTCTAGAGTCACTGAGAGTGAATGGGCCGTATAAATCCAATAAATAAATAAACCAACTGACCAATGAGGAAGAATAGAAAACACATTTTTCTGCCTCAATACCCTTCTACATTTTGAAAAATAATTATTTTCCTTCTACTTTCCCAAGTCTTGTTTATTTCCTTTCCCATTTTCTGAAATTTGTTTTAAATCATAATTGGTCATTGTCTAATTTTCTGAATGAATGTGGGTTAAGCTTAGTTTGTTGCTGCTTATATAAACATTTAAAATTTTAGTAAATTCAGTTCAAATGATGAATTAAGTAGGTTGCTCTGTTCCTTAATGACATTTTTAATGGATTACTTTGTCTTTCTGTTTAGGTATTATGGCAGGTTCAAATCGGTCTGGAGATCTTCGGGATGCTCAAAAATCTATTCCAACCGGAACAATTTTAGCCATCTCAACAACATCATTTATCTGTATCTTTTTTATGCAATTTCAAGAACATCCGAACTTCATTTCTGTATTTAGTACATATACTAGAATATAGTTAGCCATCTCTATTGTATATACCCCAAAGCAAATAACTAATACTGTATATTACAGCAAATTCTAGTTTTTGCAAAATTCTAAATGTTTCATTTAAATTTTAGATTTTTATTTATGTAAAAATTTAAAATTAGAGTTAACCAGACTGTGAGCTAAAATCATTTACTCTCTGTGAATAGGAATGAATAAAGTTATTATTTGGCATGCATACTTTGTCTCCTAAGGAAAAATCAATGAAATGTAACATAATACTAATTAAAGTTACATTAAATAGATACTAGATCTACACTAGAAGGATTTACTGTATATTGTGAGATTATAAGAAATAACTATATTAGCACATTATAAATAATATAGTTTTGAAAAGTTAAGTGGAAAAGGGCTTTTCTTGCACATTTTATTTTATGTTAAGTGTGAAAACAATGGTTAGAGTGCGAATTTTTGTGATATAATTAATTAAATATCCAACTCTTTCTCAACACAATTACTGTTTTCTTCCAAACGTACAATAATCCTGGTGTACACAGAGTATTAAAGAACTTATCTCCATTTTCTTTGCTTTAAAGTTCCTTGAGTCATATTTTACAGATCTTTCCTGCATAATTCTTTTTGGAGCCTGCATAGAAGGGGTGGTTTTGAGAGACAAGTATGTAGAAGGACCTTTTCTCCAGTTCTTTTTAAAATCTATGCATTTAAAATTGAGATATAATATTTTAACTGAATGAATGTGTGGAATGAGAAAGTAAAATACTAGAGAACTCAAAAGCAGCTTTTATGGGGGGAAAACAGATGTCCTTTTTGGTTCATCGTAAGAAATGTGTGTATGCCCACACCTCTAAATTTTTCTGAAAGGCGTTTTTTTAAATTGAGTTAGCGATTTTATGTGTATATTTTTATTTAGCTCTCCTTGTTTGTTTAATGTTGCATGTGTTCTTTCCCACAAGATTTGGACAAGCAGTTAATGGAAACCTAGTGATTGGTACGTTGGCATGGCCCTCTCCATGGGTTATTGTAATTGGTTCATTCTTTTCCACATGTGGTGCTGGTCTTCAGAGTCTCACTGGTGCCCCCCGGCTACTGCAGGCAATTGCAAGAGATGGCATTGTTCCATTTCTTCAGGTGAATTTCTGTGTTTTGTTTATTTTTTTAAAACTATTTTTACATCCTTGCCATAAAAAGAATCCATTTGGAGGGTATTTTATTCATTTATTTAACTGTAGTTTTGCTCCATGACCCGACAAATGCACGCACGACAAAAGCGCGCCGATGAAACTGCGGCGAGAACACCACGATGTCATAAACATGCCCACAACAACGCGCCCACAAAACCGCGCCCACAAAAGCGCAATTTAAGTTAAGGTTAGGGTTAGGGTTATTAGGTTGTTATTAGTTGTTTGTTGAAGGCGCACTTTTGTCAACGCGCTGTTGTCGGCGGGCTTCTGCACGCATTCGTCGGCGCAATTTCAATCTCGCGGTTTTCTCACTGCAGTTTCGTCGGTGCGCTTTTGTCGAGCGTACATTTGTCGGTGAACCGTTTTGCTCCATTTGTGCAGATGGTGGTAACTAGATTGATTGAGAGGTTTCTAAGGCAGTCATAGCCTGTAAGAGAAAAAGGACATTTAAGCCTTAGGATGCAAGAGAAAATCTGATATATCATGATATCAGGTCGAGATTACTGGATCATATGATATCAAAAGAGAAGAGCCACAATAGCCTACGGTTGCAAGAAAATCTTGGATTTCCATCCCACTTTTCTCCCTCACACCCCCCACCCCTCATTTAAATCCTACATCAATCAAGAAACTTTACACACACACACATAGTCTACCTCTTCCTTGGGAAGCAGAGCACCCTCTTCAATTTGGATTT